GTAAAATTTCCTCAGCGAGCCGAATATAAGCGCGTGAACAGGACACAGCACAATCTGAGCCCTCTATACCCTCAATAGGTATACAAGGAAGAAGATGAAGCTCCACTACGTGCGGATATGCGGTCACAACTTTAACTTGTGAGGTACCTATGTTGTTTTTTTAAAATTGAATTTTTGAAAAATTCCCCTAGGAAAAAAGCCAGTAGAACATCTCACTTGTAAGACTAACTGTGATGGGACCAAAAACGAGTAAGAAAAAAGTATTAAGAAAACTTGCAGTAGGAAACAATGTTTTAGGAAGAATGACATGCCACCATCTTGGAATCCACACGGAATATTTTGCCGACAGATTCGAGAAATCAAGGGAGTTTTCGAGAAGTTAAGTGGACTACTTTTTCAAAGAAAATATAAATTATGACAGAAGGTCGTATTTCGCAGTTTGGTCATCAATATGAGTCTTCCGACATAGTTAAATACATATGTTTCGATATAAAAACTAATTTTCAAGGGAAACTTGTGAATATTTTCCTGACGCGAAATTTCAGAAAATTTTATCCTCAGTTTCATCGAAATTAATTGAAAATGTTAAAGGGAAATGATCAAAGCTTTCCTCAATATCGAAAGATATTTGGCAACATTCAAGGGCTCATACGTTGTTTTACCTTATTGTGGCAGCACCGAGTGCAATGGAAAATTAAGAGCAATTTTCCTCACGACCAACATGAATTCGAAGTTTAGCGACGATATGGTCATCACCGGTCACTAAAAACGCCTTCATGTTGCAGTGCTATGCAATAGACTACACCCATGCAGTAATAGTCGTATCGCGAAGGAAAGGGTGTTGTGACGGGATGAATTGAAGGAGCTTCGATGAACCTTGCTCAACGGTATCGACTATGCATCAAATGCCCAGAGATAACTACATACCAATTGAATTGTAAGTAACGCGGTTAATCATAATGTGACTTGAAGTGCAAACTTAAGTTGTTCAGTTCAGCGGGAAAACCGGCCCGAAGTTAAAAATATCGTTTTTCAGTTTTTAACGCTGCACACTTTCAAGTATTCTCGAGAGCATTGAGTCAATGTTTCAAGACATGGTTTGCATTTTTCTTGGTGTTATTTTAAGCGCTTGAAATCAATCGTTTTGGAGGTTGACAACAGCGCAGCAGCGAACTGTTCACAGCGTTTACCTACTTCGAATGCTCCGTTTCTTGCTGTCGAACTTCCCATTGCTACAAAAGAGTCAAAGAGCCTGCCAGTAAATTGGTTTTTTGCCATTTTTTGGAAAAGCAGTGCTTTCGTTCAAAGTCCCAAACAAAACTTTTTCATGAGACAATTCTCCAATGACAGTTTTAGCTTGAGTTTAACGCTTATTTTGGCAATACATCGATGCAAAGTTCACATTTTTGAACATTAAAAAAACAATATTTCTAAGTTTCTCAATGGAAAAAAACAACTTCAGTCAAACTTTTTTTTCCTCTCTGGGGCACAATCTCATCGGCTAGAAGAAAAAAATTTCCATAAGAAAATTCGGTAACATTATGATGTTTATACGGCATTTTTCCTTAGCACGGCAGCGTGTAAGTGTATCAACTTAAATTTAGGGATATATATATATGCATTGCTGAGTATGTGTGAGCGCGTTGACTTTATTTTTATAGGGTCACTCCAGAGAGAGACTTGGAACTTGTGTCTACTAGAGGTTGGTCAGATTTGGATTCACCGCTGAACAGATGATTCACATATTGCAGAAAGGGCACTATTGCAGAAATGTTAACTGTTCAGAAAATGCAAAAAACTGATTTGAGTAAACTATAAGCTTTTGGAAAAAAAAATTTCGAGGTTTTCTTTTGTCCCCTAAGTAGACTGACAATTTCCATAAAAAAATGTTTACATGATACTCCTTCTGGGTTGTAAATAATGACACTTGAAGGAAGAGCATTAGTGCCCTTTCTGTAATACATGGGGGAAGGAGCCATAAAGAGTGATAGAATGAAGCCAGAAAATTATTTCAGCCCTTGTTTTTCATCTCAAATGTATGGAAATGATGCATGTCTATGGCGAAAGTTGGAAATTGTACATCTCCATTGCAACGTTTCAAAATTTCTGATCTCTTTTTATACTATTTCTTAAAGAGAACTAATAGAGATTTTCCCATGAAATTTTCAGAAAACAATCTTGATGGTGTGAAGAAAATTTACACAAAATTTCAATAGAGAATACTTAAGGACAAAAAAAGAAGACGAAATAAAATTGGCAATGTCGCAATTGATGATACGCGATATCGAACTTTCACCATGTGGTTTGCCCACAGCTATGTAAATTTTAAAAATATTTCTGGCTTATTTCAAGTCAAGAAATTTAAAAAAAAAAAAAAAAAANAAAAAAAAAAAAAAAAAAAAAAAAAAAAAAAAAAAAAAAAAAAAAAAAAAAAAATGTATCCTGTGTAGTTCAATAGCGTAGTAATCTTCTACCTACTTCCTCATCCAACCTGTTAAGGGTTCCTCTCACTTCCTAGACTCAAGGTTCAATTCATCAATTCTCACTCCTTTCATTTTCAGCGTGAGTGAAGCGTGATCACTGTCGTTTCGAAACGCAAAACTAACCTCTCAATCGTATCAAAACAAAACAAACGACGAGTTGCCGCTGCCAATGCGCGCGCACCCAGTGGGCATGTACTGCAGAAACGGCACTATATTGCTGCAACAGTGCCCTTTCTGCACTACGTGAGGAACTTAACCCCTGTCAAAAACACATAAAAAGTGCGAATATAGTGCCCTGTCTACACTACAGGCTGTGTCTACATACACTAGTGCGAAAACCGCAAAAAACTCAATTTCGAAAAAAATGTCGATTGTGCCCTTTCTGTAATAGCTGATTCAGATACGAATTCAGGCAACCAAATAGAACTATCGATCAACAGGAAGCCACCAAAACAGGTTGGTATCATAGTTTGAATTCGTTTTATAGCACGCTTTAAACTCTCAGATCTTTGGGCTTGCATAATCGATCAAGCAGTATGCCCTACGATCTCCGAAATATTTAGATGTAAGCTTAAGGTTTCTTGATTTTCATGGAGTGGTTTGGACTATTTATTTTTCGATTTACTCATTAATGATTACAGCTGCGTTTACCTATTAGTAATAATGGTGCTCTTGCATGCGTGATGAATATGCGATTTAAGTACTACTTCGTACGTACAACGAGGAACATGAACTGCGTGCGAGGAACATGATGGTGTTACTGGTTTTCTCTGAAATCAACTCCAAAGCTCAACAAGAGCTTTCAAAGTTGAGACAGTAATGGAGGTGATATCTCACGTTACCTTGAGAGTCCACCTCTACCTCAAGAAAGAACTCTATGCAAAGAAAGAGGGGGGGGGGGCTAATATATAAGCAGGGTTGCCGTGTTTTCAGTTTTGGAGTCCCCAAACAAAGTGGCTTTCTTTGGAACTTTGGAGTTAATTATTTCAGAGAAAACCAGTGGCACCATCGCGTTTCTTGCAAAATTTTACATAGATCAGTACTTAAATCGCAAATTCCTGACACGCAAGAGCTCCATTACAATCCCTCAAAATCCTTTCTATAATTCAGGAAATAACGTGCCTACGAGATCTATTTTCCTTGTTCTTTTTCGAAAAATATTAGTAATTTTCAGGTGGTCTTGACATCATAGTAATCCCAGGAAAGGCATTCACGAAAAGTGGCCAAAGAGTGGGAGCCTGGCAGGGCTGGTACTATCCTTATGTCAGGACACTCAAGGTGTACAAGAGGAATTTGACAGTCGTCGCTTTCGCATGGAGACATCAAATTGTTGATTTTATTCCCGATTTCAGTCATTTGAAAAATATGCATTGGCTCAGGAATTACAAAGAAAAAGTGCGTAAGTTTTCGATACCCTGTATATAACTTACATCTTCACCTCTAGACGAGAGAAACTCGAGGGCATAGGAAAAGGACCACCGTCTGAATCAGTGGCGTAGCGTGCTTTGCGATATATCGATTGATCTACCATTTAAACCTATGGAAAAGGGTCGATAAATCTCGATGAGTAGGGTGTTTGCAAGGAACACCATGATAATCGATTCCTTACCGTAGCTTCAAATGGGATAATATCGATAGCTGATTATCGCGCCTCGCTTTTGAAGAGGGCGAGTTTGCAACCTAGTCTCCATTCAGTTTGCTTGATTCTTTTGAGTTTACAATCGTTGAATTAAAGTATTAAAAAACCTAACGGCATCTTTCCACCACTTATGTTCGTCATTTCGCTGTCCCTCTGACGTAAGGTCGTACCTCAATTTGCACGTGAGCCCTATTCTACATTTAAGTCCATGCGTTCTCAGGCTCAAGGGGACATCGTGCACTGAGAAAAAACTATGGCTTATAAACCTATTAGAGGTAAATATGGAACACCACTAATAGTAGTACCTCTACATATAATAATAGCACATATACCTTAGTTATGGTCTCTGTACCTTAATTAGGTACAGAGACCTTAGTATGGTTCACAGACCGAGAATCATTAGTTTATTTACGACTATTATAGGTGTTCCATATTTACCACTAATAGGTTTATAAACCATAGCTTTTTCTCAGTGTGATACGCCCTTACGTCAGAGGAGCGACGATTTTTACTCTCGCTCAACAGTGGATCGAGTCAATTAGAGAGCTCGGACATTAAATTTTTGACTAAAACTGCAAATTTTGATGTGTATTTAGTGACGCTGTAGGCATTGAGGGGTGCGACTAGAAGAAATTTTGAAAACCAATAGAACCACTTTTGGAACCTCAAAGTTTTGTATAAGCGGAGTTATAAAGCGTTTAAAGTATATCCAAATTCTGTCCAACCTTTCCGATTGACTCGATCCATTGTATGCCGTTAAAGTTTTTTTTTTTTTTTTTTTTCCAATCCAATTATAGTAAAAGCACCTTACTTCGGCACTATTAACCATTGCGAGCTTAATCTATTCCGAAAGCTACAAATAAAATAAAATTACATACCGATCAGATCAGCAGTACGCAGCTCAATGCAGACGATTCTGTAAAAGAAAGCAAAAGAAAAGCTTACTATCTAAGTAAAACAAGGCACTGAAAATTCTTGCAAAAGTAAAATTTTGTGCAGGGACGATTAGAAGTATAGTGAGCTACATACAGACTGGTTGCTGGAAATGCACCACTACACAGAGGAAAGTTAATTTCAAAATCACAAGAGACCGATGCTTCTTCGTTGTATTTAGGAGAACACCATTATTGCATCCTGGAATCGATTAATTGCGCTAAGCAAGGGTTGCAGAACGTTTTTAGCCTTCCCATTGTTAAAATTTGTCTTCCCTTTATAAAAACCCCTTCTCCCCCAAATTTTCACAAAAATGACTTTCCTATGGCTCTGCACGTATGAATTTCCGCGATTTGGCGAAAAACACGTGCTTTTTACCGCAGTAGTGTTTAAAAAAATCGAGATTTTACAGGCTTTCCAATGGTGTTTTCAGAGCCTTTCCATTTTCACAAGCGACCGATCGCGATCCACTCGGTCGCGTGGTCGAGAAGCTTTTGCACGCCTGAAAGCCCTAAAAGTATAACATTTACTACTACAACTACTTAGTTCTAATACTAGTAGTTGTGGTGGCTTTGTTCGATTTAATTCCATGATATGAGACAAAGTAGAATCAATTTTTCCGGTTTGTTCGGGCTGCAGATATTGCCGAAAAACTGTTTCATCACTTCGACGAGTAAACGCGGACGAGTATCGCGGAGAAAACGCGATTTTTTTAGCAGTTATGTAAAACAAAAGAAAAATTACGACGTGATTTCCACATTGCGGCAAACACAAACCATTTTACGGATATTGAAAAGGTGTAAAAATTAAATAATTATCTCGTCCACATCTCGGAAAAATGAAATTGATGACGATACGAGCGTAACATTAATACTCGTCAGTAATTTGAGAGGCGAAAAGCTAAGATTTTCCTTCATTTCCGCGGGATACCACATCACATGCCTACTCCGCGGAGATCGAATGGTTGCGCGCTTGATTTCCGCATTTACCGATGCGCCGCGCCGATGCAAGTATGATGCCTTCATTCATACACTTTGATACATAGATAAAAGGCTGAGATTATCCCTCATTTACGCAAGATACCATACCACATACCTACTCCGGCATTCGAATATTTGTTCGCTTCATTTCCGTTCGTAAAAGCGAGAGAAATCGCGCGATTTTCATCTCGGTATCGCGAGAAATGCGCAATTTTTTATACGTTGCGGTATCAAAGAAAGGAAGAGAAATACGCGATAATCACCACAATATCCCGGCCCGGCAAATACGCGATTAATTCAGCGACATTTTAAATTGATTAAAATCATGCGTTATTCGCCTCGATGTCGCGGCAGATACTCATATTCCGCAACGGTTGATGAATACCACTAATGATGGTAGAAAAATCATATCAATCGCAGAAAATACCTGAATTTAAAATTACGCCAGCAAAATTTTTATGAACGAAGTAAGTTCAGATGGGAAAAAAGCTATGATTCTCCTTCAATTTCCCAAGATACCACACGCCTACTCCGGAGTTCGAATAGTTGCTCCCCTGAATTGCGCGCGTTAAAAAGTGAGAGATTTCGTAGTTTCATCTCAGTATACCGCAAGACGCACGAGATACTTACAGGTGTCGTCAGCTAATTTATTAGTTGACGGTTGTTTACTTTCAGTTTGCAAGCGCCAACGACGAATTTGGGCCTCTGAACAAAGCGGGGCGTTCGCTACTATCCACATTGAAAACATCAGTCTCATGTTCGTATCGTAAAAAAAACTATTTTATGATTTGCGACTTTTTTGTGGTTGTGATTCTGGCTGAAAATTAAAGTGTTACAAGGTTTGAAAGCATTAAAAAACTTATCTAAGCTTGTGTTCTTGCTTTTGAGAGAGCCAGATGTTTTCATGTGGATAGTAGTGACGCGAAAACGCCTGCAAACCGAAAGTAAACGACCGTCAATTTGGCTGACGACACCTCTACCTAGAGCACCTTTATAGACAGAGTATGGCCATTTCTGTTCTGGTTTTTCATTGGTCGCGAGCGATTAGGCTGACACGATGCTCTTAGGGCCGTAAATAAACAAACAAGATGGCCGTTATCAGCAAGCAAGATTGAGGTTATGCACATCTTACATCCTCCTGTGATAAAGGTGGAAGGCAGTTTAACAATGTTTTCATGTGTTTTTCGTGTGCTATTCGTAGATATGCTCGTTTAAATTGTTACTGCCGCATAATTGAAATTTTTGTCTTTAGCTTCTCATCGATGTTACGGTGAGCCGCCATCTTATTTGTTTATTTACGGCCCTTAGAGCATCATGAAGCCTAAAAACTCGTTGACCAATCAAAAAGCGGAACAGTTTTCCTGTAGTAAAAAGATACGAATGGCCATACTCTGTCTATAAAGGTACTCTACCTCTACCAGGTTCGTACATTTCTCGAATATTACGCGCTTTTCATCTCTCCGTATCGGGCAAAAAGCGGTTTTTCCTAGTATTTTAATAAAAAAGATTAGAAATTACGCGATGATCACTGCAGTATCGCGGCAAATATGAGATTGTTCCAGCGGTTTTTAAAATAATTAGAAATCATGGGGTATTTATCTCGATATCTTGACGGGGGCACACATTTACAACGGTTGTTGAAGGACATTAATGATCACAAAATATTCATCTCAATCGCTGAAAATACGCGAATTCCATATCAATGTGGGTTACAGGACTTTTGGTCCAATTTTTTTTGTCCATAAATTTTTTCGTCCAATTTATTTTGTCCACGACTTTTTGTCCTTGAAATCTGGTCCAAGTTAAATTCGTCCTGGTAAATAGTTAGTCCTACGCATTTGTTCGTCCAGTGGTATTAGGTCACATTTCTGTGGTCCAGTAAGGTAAAAAAGTTATGTCCAAAACTCACGTCCAATGAGGCCGTTTCAGCTATTTCCTTTCAGCTTTCAGCTACTTTCAGTCATCGTCTGAGTCTTCTTCGTCCGAGTCCGGTGGATCTGCGCGTGGCATGCCTCCACTGCAGCATGATCCGGGAGATGCAAATAAGTTGAGATATCGCACTTATAAACAACTAGTTCTTCCATGTTCGTATTAGTGACGCATCTCGCATTGCATGTTTGCCTCCTCTCACACCTCCAGTACTTTCTCGTCCTATCTTTATTGTACGAATGGTGATGGTACACAAACCCTTCATTGACAAGGAGGGGCTTGTCGCGTTTACTCTGTATCACTGTTGGAGCCATTTCAGTATATCAACAAACGTCACACATCCTAATAAAATTTCAAAACAAAAATATATACAGTCATTGAATTTTGAACGAAAATTTTAAAATCACCTCTTTGATGTTTCTTCTTTCGATTTGGGGATGGTATATCAACAAATGTCACCCACACTAATAAAATTTCAAAACAAAAATATATACCGTCATTGAATTTTAAACGAAAATTTTAAAATAACCTCTTCGATGTTTTTCTTTCGATGTTGGGATTAAATTTAAGGGTTTCCATAGCTACGAAATACATTGATCTTAACGCCAATTGATTCACACGCCACGCGCAGATCCACCGGACTCGGACGAAGAAGACTCAGACGATGACTGAAAGTAGCTGAAAGCTGAAAGGAAGTAGCTGAAACGGCCTCATTGGACGTGAGTTTTGGACATAACTTTTTTACCTTACTGGACCACAGAAATGTGACCTAATACCACTGGACGAACAAATGCGTAGGACTAACTATTTACCAGGACGAATTTAACTTGGACCAGATTTCAAGGACAAAAAGTCGTGGACAAAATAAATTGGACGAAAAAATTTGTGGACAAAAAAAATTGGACCAAAAGTCCTATAACCATCAATGTGAGCATAATTTTTATGAATGTCGTAAATTCAGATAGGAGAAAAGCTATGATTCTCCTTCAATTTCTTGTGATACCACATACCTACTCCGGAGTTCGAATAGTTGCTTGCTGGAATTCCGCGCGTTAAAAAATGAGAAATTGCGCGGGTTACGTCCCTGTGTCGCCCGATTTCCGCGACATTTCCGGCGGATTCTTTAAACCAAAGGAAAGTACGCGCTTTTCATCTTGGTATAGCGGGAATGGGCGATTTTTCTGACGATATTGAAGAAAATATGAGAAATTTTTTCTTGTCTATGTTTTTTTTTTTTTTTTNTTTTTTTTTTTTTTTTTTTTTTTTTTTTTTTTTTTTTTTTTTTTTTTTTTTTTTTTTTTTTCCAGTGTGGGATGAGAACCGAGTGTTTCCTTATGTATATAAGAATCTGGTGAAAAAATCGTTTTTCTATGATTTTTATTTTTAAATCATTTAAGAAAATTTCCGGAAAACCTTCAGAAAACTACAGGAAGCTTCGTAAAACACATCGATTAAAAATAAAACATCGGTCGATGTGTGCAACGTTACAATCGGAGAAAAATACGCTTTTATTCGCGCGGAGCCGTCGGTATTTCGGTTCATCCACGGCAGGCGCAATGATACAACTATTCGACCACGGATGTAGGCATGTTGCAGCCAGCCGGATTGGAGGCGTGTCAAACTGCGAAGATCACGCAGCCGCGTTCCCTTCCCTGGCTGTCGCAACGCTGAAATCGCCGCAAACCTAAGAATACGCGTCATTATTTTCACTTTTTGCCCCGTTTTACTATATTCAAATTGAAATATGTACTCAACTATAAGGATTCCAAAAATTTAATCGTATTTGATTCGTTTTTTGATTGAAGAAAATTGAAAAACGAGAGTAACGCGTCGAAAATTTCTATGATTTTTATTTTTATATCATTTCAGAAAATTTCTGGAAAACCTTCAGAAAACTACAGGAAGCTTCGTAAAACACATCGATTAAAAATGAAACATCAGTCGATGTGTGCAACGTTACAATCGGAGATAAATGCTCTTTTATTCGCGCGCAGCCATCGGTATTTCGGTTCATCCACGGCAGGCGCGATGATACAACTATTCGACCACGGATATAGGCATGTTGCAGCCAGCCGGATTGAAGGCGCGTCAAACTGCGAAGATCACGCAGCCGCGTTCCCTTCCCTGGCTGTCGCAACGCTGAAATCGCCGCAAACCTAAGAATACGCGTCATTATTTTCACTTTTTGCCCCGTTTTACTATATTTAAATTGAAATATGTATTTCAACTATAACGATTCAAAAAATTTAATCGTTTTTGATTCGTTTTTTGATTGAAGAAAATGGAAAAACGAGCGTAACGCGTCGAAACTTTGGCTTTACTACTCGCGATGTTAAGATGAAAATCGCGTAATCTTTCACTTTTCACAAAACCGCTGCACAAATTATGAAAGTCAGGCGGTGTTATGCTCGCTTCGTTAAATGAGGAAATCAAGCGCATAACTTTTCAAACTCCGGAGTCGGTATGTGGTATCGCACGGAATTGAAGGAAAATCTTAATTTAGTGCCTGTCTCAAATTACTGACGTACATGGATATTTTACTCCCGCTATCCAAATCGCGTATTTTCCGCAGGCCCGCCACATCTCATCTCGGGCACTGGTACCAGCCTTAAAGTCTGGGCCCCATGACTGCCACCCCCCCCCCTTACCGCAAGAAAAACAATTTGAAATATCATGAAAATTAACATTGTTAGAATAAAAAAAAGTAAATAAATGCTCATTACGTTTCAGTCGATTATAAAAATATCATTCTATGCTAAAAATCTTAAAAAAATATATAAATCTTAATAGAAGTAAAAAGAATTCTACACTGCCAGCGTGTTTTTGAAAATGTATTCACCTTTTGCGATATTTCCGGGGGAAAATGTTCCTTTTTTTCTTGCGAGACGAGACAAGGGTTACGTAAATGAATACCTTTCAATTGAATGGGGTTTAGAGGGATATCTTTCTTTAAAGAAAATACATCAAAAGTTACGTTTTTTGTAGAGATATCATTTAAAACATTATTAAATATGAGAGAGGAACATTATACTGCTTATCAAAGGAAAGAAAAAAATTGTTGTATACATACCAGCAGTAGGTTATCCACTTGCCCGACGCCAGGCTGAAAGCACTCACAACACTGTCACTGAAACTACACTAAAAAAATTGCCCATTATTTAAAAGATTAAAGTAGTACTAAAAAAATTGCCCATCATTTAAAAGATTAAGTAGTACTAAAAAAATTGCCCATCATTTAAAAGATTTAAGTAGTACTAAAAAAATTTCCCATTACTTAAAAGATTAAAGCAGTATTAATGTAGAATGAGGACACAGGGTCACTGCAGAGTGAAGAAATTATAGGATAAACTATTCTGATTTCAATTCTGTCCATGTTAGGTTTTCCAAGCGTATCGTGTCTTAGAATCGTTAGCTTTATCTCTATATTATAAACGTACCTATGCGAGTAATGCGTACTTGACGCTAAACGCCTGAGGCGCAAAGCGCTTCAGGGGGTTGCACCGAGAAGCGGTCCGGGTAACTTGGAATGGTTCAACGCAGGAATTAAAAAAACAAATAAGTTTATACAAAATTTACCGAAGCATATTATACTCAACAGAAATTTTAGATTAAAATAGGAAGATTGAACACTTTACATACTAAAAGCAACTTGTCTAGGAGGGTAAATGGCGCTAAGTTCCACATCCGATGATGAACCTGAGTCGTTCAAATGAATTTTTTTTTTATTGCTCTTATCGGAAAAGGGGGTAAAAGCTCTTCAGACTCAATTCATAGCTATTGGACTTCGTTCCACTGTTCTGTAGTCTCTCTCATCACAAAATTAAAAGTAAAAGTTCTTGCGACTCAATCTCGTAAAAATAGCTTTCCGTTCCACACCACTTTCATCTTAGTTCATTACTTTACATACTGATAACAAGGTGCTTGGATGGTGAATGGTACACACTTCCATATGTGATAATGAATCTGAATCTTTGAAATCAACTTTGGTCTCTAGTCTCTCTTATTATCTCAAATTGAAGTATAAGTTCCTCCCACTCAACTCATAAATATTGAACCTTGTTCCACTGTTCTCTAGTTTCTTTGATCACAAAATTTTAATCGTAAGTAAAAGTTCTGGCAACTCGATCTCATAAAAAATTGCTTTTCGCTCCACGCCACCTTCGTCTTAATTCATAACGTAGCATACTAATAAGAACATGCTTCTTGGATGGTGAATGGCGTACACTCCTCCATCGAGTAATAAATCTGAGTCTTTGAAATCAATTTTGCTCTCTTCTCTTTCATCGGAAAATGAAGTAGAAGTTCTTCCAACTCAAATCATAGGTATTGGACTTCGTTCCACTGTTCTCTAATCTCTGTTCTCTGGTCTCTAGTCTCTGGTCTCTCTCATCACAAAATTATAGGTAGAATTTCTTTCAACTCGATCTCATAAAAATGGCATTTCGTTTCACACTACCTTCGTCGTAGTTCATTACTTTACATACTGATTACAATATGTTTAGAATATGATTGGCGCACATTTTCGAATCTGAAAGTGAATCCGAGTATTTGAGATTCATGTTTAATCTCTTATCTCTCTCATCGGAAGATGAAGTAAAAGTTATTTTCCCTCAACTTATGATCATAACTTTTCGTACCATAGTCATTTCGTCGTGGTTCATTACTTAACATTTTAGAAGCAGTATATGTAGATGGTTAATGGTGCACCATTCCACAACTAGATTAAAGTAGTTTCTACCTATATTGGTATATATATTCTACCCTAAGAATGAGAGGTAAAAGATGAGAGGTAGCGGATGAGAGGTAAAGGATGAGAGGTAAAGGATGAGAGGTAAAGGATGAGAGGTAAAGGATGAGAGGTAAAGGATGAGAGGTAAAGAATAGGAGGTAAAGAATACCTAGGAGGTAAAGAATAGGAGGTAAAGAATAGGAGGTAAATCCCGCCCGGCAAGTGGTTGCCTGAAGTAGTTGCGGAAATGTTGTCACAATGTGACTGTCAAAAATAATGTTGCGACAACGTTGCAGCAACGTTGTGGCAATGTTATTTTTGTCAGTCACATTGTGACAACATTTCCGCAACTACTTCAGGCAACCACTTGCCGGGCGGGAAGGATATTAGGTAAAGAAGAAGAGGTAAAGAATAGGAGGTAAAGAAGAAGAGGTAAAGAAGAAGAGGTAAAGAGGAAGAGGTAAAGAGGAAGAGGTAAAGAAGAGATAAAGAAGAAAGGGTACAGAATAAGAAGGAAAGAACAGGAGGTAAAAAATAAGAGGTAAGGAATAAAGAGGATGAGAAATTGATCATTATGAGATCTGTTCGGAGAGTATCCGACCATGTTGATTATCTCGCCATGAACGGTTGATAAGAGCTTGAGGCTTGGGATCGTCTTGGCAAGGACTCTCCTGAGAGCAGGAGCGTCCTTGCCAAGATGATCCCAAGCCCCAAGCTCTCATCAACCGTTCATGGCGAGATAATCAACAAGGTCGGATACTTTCCGGACAGACCTGTTACACTTACGATTAAATAAAATTAGGAAATAAAACCACATGCACCCGCCACCAAAGCACATGCACCCGCCACCAACCCACATGCACCCACCACCAACCCAAGTCAGTCATAGTCAGTCGGCCACGGGCTGAAACGAGTTCGGGTCCCGACACAAGAACGGTAAAAGGAGTTACCGAGCCATTCCTCAGCCTCGTTACTGCCGGCTCAGGGCCGAAAACAGCCCTGAATGGCAGCTACAAGACACAGGAATGGTTCGGGAACGCCGTTCACCATCCCTCTTGCGTCGCGGACGCGAACTCGCTTTTTCCCGTGGCGGGTAACCATGCTCGGATAAAAATGGTGACACTGAGTCGAATGAACACACACTCAGGTTGGCTGCATGCTCATGAAGCGTGAGCAAGCACCCACGCTTGATGACCACTCAACCATCCTGAATGCACGCAAATTCGGGACACTCTGTGTCACTATTTTTACCGGAGGTAGCAGCAGTGGACCCAAAGGTGTTTCAATGGCTACCGTCGGTGGGTCATTGCCGGCTGGTCTAGGCAGTCCGCAGACGCGGCCCCTACTCGTGCGACCACGTGGTCCACCAACGGTCGGGTTGAGACGACCTGCCGGAAGGTCCGTCGAGCATTCCGCGGGATGGCATTGCTACCGGCCTACCTTCACTTCCAGGCTGAGGTTGCTAGCCCCCGGAAGCGAAGTTCGGTCGGTGGAATGCCGTCCAACGGAGTGCTCAAAGGACCGTCCGGCGGGACGTCCCCCCGAACGTCGGACGGACCACGAGGGCGCACTTTTACCGGATCTGGCGGCGGCTGATCGTTGTTGTACGCTACGGCCGTGAGAGCAAGTCGCTGCGGCAGTGGAGCTATCAAGGGGCCCGCTTAAAGAGAACTCACCCCTAGGCCCGAGTCGCGTTCCCTTTGGAGCGCAGCACGTAGCCGCGCGCTCCGAAACGCGACTTCGCTTTTGGACTACATTTTGCAATCTGGAACTGTAAATTCTAGCCCGGTTTAAAAACAACGTATGTGCCGTTCATTTCCCTATGCACATACGTGTTTTTCCAGAAGAGCCAGAATTTATAGCTCCAGATTGCAAAATACAGTCCTTTTCATGCTCACCTCTTCAGGCGTGCTTGGTAGGCACCCACCGTTGAGAATCGACGGGAAAATGCGCTTGTTCAGAAGTTTTCCGGATTTTTTTTTTTTTTTTTTTTTTTTTTTTTTTTTAAACCTACTTTCTTAAAGATAGTTATGTATTTTTTTTCAAATAAATAAATATACGTATGGTGACGATATTGACCCACGAACCTTCGCTTTCTCGGCAGTAAAAAGTACTCAGCTCAAATTATACACCTTTGAATTTTTTTTTTTTTTTTTTAGAGGAGATAATATCGTCCTGAAAAATTTCTGTGAGCTAAACGCGCTCTCGAACGAGTGCTCACTGAACAAGCTCATGAAAAAATGAAAGATATTCCAAAAGAGAGGGGAGGAAAGAGTGGCAAAAAAGATGTGGTTGTGACGAACAGAGAAGGTCCCTATGATTTCAGCCAAAGCGTAATTTTTTCTCATTTCTTTAGTTTGAATTCAGTCAGATTTAATTTTACTTAATTCGTTGCTCCGTCCTTTGATCGTCAATCATTCACGAGTACGGAATGGCAAAGCGTAGTTTTTTCCCTTCATTTATTTAGTTTGAATTCAGTCAGATTTAATTGTACTGAATTATTTGTTTCGTTCTTTGATCGTTAATCATTCATGAGTACGGAGTAGCAAAGCTAATGTTTTGAAGTTTAACCCTTGCAATGGAACTGATCCGCGAGATCATTTGCGATCGTTGGACGAAAAGATAAAAGACAATGAAAATTGAATAATATTCAATAATCGTTCAGTAAGTCCGATGTCACAAAATTTTAGCACTCGCAGATGTTCGTTAGGATCAAAACTTCGCTGGAATCGCAGAATTGACTACTATCTTATATCAAAGATACTTTTAGAAAACAACTTACATGAACAAGAAGAACGTATTCAGGCTTTGTTTAACGGTTAAAAGTACACCCAGAGGACAGAGCAGAACATTAAATACAATTCTAAGGGTAGGTATATAAACGCAGGGAGTAATCTGAAGATAAAAGAGAATCATTGTTTTAACATCTTTACAAGGTCATTTATAGGCTCGCAAGCATGGTTGTTCACCAGTGGCGTGGCGTGAATTGCGATGTATCGATTGTTATGCTATTTAAACCTATGAAAAAGGATCGATAAACAGAGTGTTCGCAGCGAACACCTTGATAATCGATTCTTTACCATAGGTTTAAATGGCATAACAATCGACATATCGCAATTCACTCAACGCCACTGTTGTTCACTGCTATGAAAAGACTCTTGGATCTAGAGTCCAGGCTCTTAAACAATTACAAAGAAAAAATACTCTTGATTTAATCGGATTTTTTCTTTAATCAAAATGAAATCCGCTTCAATTAAGAGGCTTGGCTCTCGATGCAAACTGAAATCCATCTGAATCAGGTGGTTTTTTTTTTTTTTTTTTTTTTTTTNTTTTTTTTTTTTTTTTTTTTTTTTTTTTTTTTTTTTTTTTTTTTTTTTTTTTTTTTTTTTTTTAATAATCAAAATAAGAG